ACCACTGTGCCATCTGTGCTGACTGTTACTGAAAATCCATCTACTGTTTAAATCAGGTTATTTTATATTTGTATTGTTTGTGTATTTTTATAGCAGAGTTTGGCAGTATGTGTCATTCCCCAACCAAACTGCATGTAGCCCCTCTGCACTCAGAGTGTTTATACACACAGTTTTTATAATTGCCTTCATGCCCCTTGATGTTTTCATGTCGGTTTTGTTTTTAATTACACGTAATGTTCTTATACACACAATGTGAAAAGTTATAACTTTAACTTACTTTCTTTAACTAACTAACTTCCTGACTTACCAACCGACCAATGAACTAACTAACCTGCTTTGTTTTCAAAAGTTATCAACACTTTTATTGGCAGGACAAACATGGCTAATTCTATTATTTAATAAATACATGACTTTCTTACTGACAAACTAACTTATTTATATACTGACTAGCTCACTAAAATTAACTAACTAACTTTACAAATTGATTAAGTAATGACCTAGCCAAGTGAATCACAAAAAGTTAAATGAGCATCTATGACTCATGTTCATATGCAGCGATTCTAACCCAGTGCAGGGTGTAATGTGTTTATGGGCCATGCAATATATGTGGAACTTTTCCTATCATACACTTTTATTTGTAACAATCCTTGTGTCTTTTTTGCTACCACCACTCTGCGTCACTAAGCATGGGGCTTTTAAGCTTTTGCCTCACACATGTATAGTTTGGGTTTGTGCCTTGTCTCACACTACTGTAGCAGTTACTGTCATTTATATATTGAACCATAGTTGAGCAACTGAGCAGATACTGGGAACATTAGCATAGGCTACATGTGAAGTTGTGTTTCTTGGCACTTGGCGAATATTCACTCTCCTTCCAGGTCTGCTCTTGGTCTCCACCAAATCCCGACCTGCTGAATGCTTGACTTTCTTCAGTAGCTAGATGCTAACTTCGGCTTTCTGTCACTTGATACTGGGCAATGCAATGGGTTTTTTATGAGCGATCCCTTTCATATAACACAGTTATTTGTTCCACTGTTGCTGCCCTAAAGTTGCCCAGAGGTAACCATACATTAATCAGAGGTAGCATGATAAGTCTGAAGGAGTCCTAGAGGTGGTTCTCAGTGAAGTTTTAGCCATGATAGCAACAGCCAGTACTGAAATATCTCAATAACTACTGGATGAAGTGTCATGAAAATGCTGTATAGATATTCATGGTGATGATCCATGATGATGAATCCCAATGACTTTGTCACCCACTGACCTTCTCTCTAGTGCAACCAGCACGTCAAAGTTTATCCTGTGAACTATCTCAACTACTATCTACTAAATGGATTGGCACTTCTTTTTTTTTTTTTTTTTTTTTTTCTACAGATATTCATGGTCCCCCGAGGATGAATCCTGATGTCTCTGGTGATCCCCTGACTTTTCCCATAACAACACGATGATGTTGACATTTGTGGTGTTGTGTTAATTGTCTGAACAACTATTGAATGGATACCCATTACATTAAATTTTGCTGTCCCCCTGTGGGCACTGAGCTCAAAACACAGCTGTGCACAAGCACCCGTGGTCAAGACAATGAAATAATTCACTGCAGATATAAACCAGTACTGTCTCTAATACTGAAATCTGTGTTAATTACACATGGCAGAGAAACCAATATTTTAAAGTCCTGCTGCAGGGCATTATAACCTCTCTGGTTGGCATAAAAATGTCTGTTTAAAAGGAAAAATGCTGAGTTGCTGCTATTGAAGTGAAGTCCAGGGGCACAGCATGTGTTGTTCACATAAACTGTCTTGGCAATACAGGCTGAGCACCTCTCTGTTTTATTATCTCTTCCTCCTGCACTGGCTGTAGACAGGAAAAATAATGGCTAGAGAATGGATTGAAATTAATTAGGTAACCATTTGCATTGTCATGATGTTTCTTTACAGCCACAATGGAGAAGAGAGAAGGGAATCTCACAAATATGAGCTGAACTGAAGCCCATGACAATGATTTCCTTTGATTCTCAGAATGAGCTTGTTCTCTGCTCCCCCTCGTTCAGAGATTTCTTAATCTGTCACTGTAACGTCTCACGGCTGATGACACTTTTATGTGAGGGTTTTCTTTTAAATCTGAGATGATTGCACACTGTCTTATAAAAGGTTATTGATCCTCTACATCACCTCAACATGGAAATCAGGATAGACTCAACCTGTATCCGCCTGCATATGTTTTTTGCATTAGACTAATGGAAGGATAGATGGAAAATTTTGCATTTAATGCATCATCATGTCACAAAAATCAGAAATGTCATAGTATGTTTGCATCTATGGAAAATCTTGTAAACAGACATTTGAATCAAATTCCTAGTGCTCATTGTCTGACGCTGAGAGGGCAGATCTCTCTCCTAAAGCACAGTTTTCAGTTGTTTTGCCAATTCAAGTCGCAAAGAAACCAGTCACGTAACTGCAACATCAAAGACTTGGGCTGAACTTGGGACCTTTGTCACGTCACCTCAATTTCACAGTGAACTGTGGAATTAAGCAGAAATACCAAACAAAAACTCTAAAGAGCATTTCCACAAAAACAGCACAGGTCCAATGCATGTTGCTCTCCAGAAGGGAAGCTTTAAAAAACATAATTGAATTTTGCAAAGTGCAAAGGACTTTTCAAGTGTGAAAACATAGCAAACCAGTATTTCTGACGTTATTTACAATGCAGTCCTTAGTTTCTTTACAGTATCAAATCTAATCCAGTCCCAGTTCAACAGCTGCAGTGTGGCACCTCTCACAGCTCGGATGGTTTTTCATCACAAGGAGCTTGACTTATTTCTCCGCACACTGGGTGAGAGACTGGATAGGAAGGCAAGTGTCCTGTAAATTGTTGGAGAGGGTGAAGGAAACCAAGTCGTCATAAATTCTCCAGGCTGACTAGCGGAAGCTGATGAAGAGCAGAAATGCTTTTTCACACACGACTACCACACAGAGAAAGAGTCCATAATACTGCTGGCACTGCAACCGGGAAATGCACAGATCGTATTATTCATACACGTGCCGCTGTGGCTGCAGTGCTTTGACTGGCACCACTACTACAGTATCACGGAGGTGGAAACTGTCCTCACCAGAAAAATGACAGCACTGGTCTTAAGTTCAATTGCTTTTAAATGATCAATACTAATGTTTTCCTCTTGTGGTTGTGAAAATAATGACGATCCTATCTCTCATCAATGCCGGTGGAAGAAGCATGTTATTGTAAAGCCATCGCAAAATTTTCAGTTTCACTTTAAAGGGGTTATTTGTAAGTTTTCTCAGCCGCCGAATGTAGTTTCTTGGCGGGAGCAGGTGGTGGTGATTGAGCTTGACAAGAGCTTCAGCCATCAATGCATTTAAGATAAGAGGTTATAATATGCCCTCTGAGCAGCGCCACATCTTCAGGGCAGATTAGAGGCTACAGTGAGTTGCTATCAGAAGGAGACAAAACGGGCCAGGGCTAGCTGGTTAGCATGCTAAGAGTTAACTTTTAAGTTAGCTGTTGCTTTCCAGCTCTGGAGACAGCTCTTGTTTTAGGGATAAGGCTGAACCTGTAACATTTCTTCTCGACTGGTAAAAAATAACCATTAATGCTAATGCTAAGATGTAGCAGTAGCAACACTTACAAATAGCTCCTTTAAATACTGGAATGATTATACATAAAATCACTGGAAAGACAGTGGCTGCAACATGAGCTGAAGTAAGGATGCAACCACACAATTTGAAAATGCCTGTAACGAGGACAAAAGTGAGTACAGTTAGTTTCTTTTATCCATTCAGCAGTCAGTGCTTTTAACCATGAAGACAACCATGACCAAGCAGTTCAAGTTACCTAGAGTTACCTAGACTTAACCGTACATTTGGGAGGAGCTGATAAACAACATATTTTGTCAGTTTGGTGTATACACATTTGTTTGGTGAGTACATGAATTTGGCTGTGGCTCAGGAGGTAGAGCAGCTGTTCCATCAGTACATGAGTGTGTTTATGTGTGTATGTGGCATACAGTATATTGTAAAGCGCTTTGAGTGGAAAAGCATTATATAAATGCAGTCCATTTACCATGTGGCAGCCTTCGTGTAGTGTAAAAGCTGCATCATTTATTAATTTTGAATACATTCCTGAAGAATTACTCTTTTATCTCACAGCTTGTAGAAGAGCCCCTGATACAATCCATCTTAGTTTTTCTGTCTGCAAAGGGCACCTTTGACAAAAAGGGCAGGTAATTATAGCCACTGCTGTGCACACCAGAGGTTGTGTTATGTGGCTAACAGGTTTAAAACTACATCTATATATTTCTTTTAATCCCTCTTTGGACCCCAGTCTGTAGGAAATGTGTTTCTCTCTGTGTTCACAAAATACCTCCCACCTCCATCCTCACTCACTCTCTTCTCTTTTACAGTGTTTCTACATGGCGTCCTCCCCTCTGTCAGGAGAGGGCTGTCCAGCAGAGCTTCCATAATGAAAAGTGAGCTGTCCCTTTCACCTTCCTCCCCTCACCCTCACCGCCCCTTTTTCCCTGCCATCAGCTGCTGTCTCTTCCAACTTTCTTCCTCTTATTTCTCCATCCCAACACACTCTTTCTTGCTTTACAAAGTCACAGTCAAAGTCACAGTGTGTGAGGAGTGACTTAAGGACACTTCATGGTGTGGGGTAGTAACAGGCCTGTTTTTGCTTTTTAGTAGTAAACATTCGGTAAACCAAAGATTTGTCAGCAGACAAACCTGGGAAACCTGGGAGTAAGACTCTAACATGACATGCTATGAGGACAATCCATATGTAAAACCTCAAGTGGTCTTATTAGCCAACATCGAAAAACATTAAGTGCTGCTGAACCAATGTACCACTGACCCACTGTCGCTCTGCAATAACATTTTCCAGACCAGTGATGGTGTTATCAGATAATCTGACAGACAGATAGATAATTACATCCCAAGAGAAACACACAGAGAGTCCTGTATTTAGTGTGCACACATTGTGAATCTCACCTTTCCTGCTGCAGATGCTCCTTGGTCCACTGAGAAGCTGCAGAGACACAGACCAAAAGGGCAAATTAATCACTGTGGGACTGTTGAGTCCTCACACATATACAGACACAATAATATTGTGACTGGTGTGTTGATTACAATCTAAACATTAATATAAAGTGTCAGAGAGTTGGCATGGATACATGAAGTGAAAAATAAAGGAAATAAAATCATCAACAAGTGAAAATGGGAGATTCATAGAGTTATGCAGGAATGAGTGCTAAAATCCAGAAATAAGGTTTTTGGTGAGATAAGGAATGAGGTCTGTGGTTAACACAAGCTCAAGACTTTTTCATGTTTTATTCTAAAATACATCAGTTATTACCCCAGTCTTGATATTTCTAAGCTTTTACCTGTCTTATAAAAGGCTGGTTGCTAACAAGTAGCTAAATGAGACTACAGAGGTTAAACATTATCATGCTGAACATGATGAACATCTATTCACCAGTTCACCTTGACAGACTCATTGCGCTATTTCTAACTTTGTAAGAGGAAAGCCTTTTGTGGAAGAGGTAAGAGCTAAATCATTGAAGTTGAAAACTCAGCGGTGACGCTGACGTCATGTGACCGTGGTGTAGTTCCTTAATAGCCACACATTAGCCTTTTATTTGGCGATTGTAAAAAAACAAAATGTGTAGTAAGCCAATGGAAAATTCCCATTAGCTTTTTGTCGAGGGAACCAAGGCGATGCTAACTTCCAGGTTGGCCTACAAAAATACGTCACCCCTGCAGGACAATAATATATGACCAGTCCACAGTCTGTTTATTTTGAATCATTTTATCAGATTTACCTTTAGACTGTGCTTACACACACTCTCTCTCTCACACACACACACACACACATATAACATGAAGAGTTATTTATATTTTCTAAATATGTTTTGGAGATAGGAATGGAATAGAGGATTTGAAATATCTTGACTGACAGCATTTCATCTTTTGGAATATATTTCTCTTTTATCGCAGGCTGATAAATGCACAGTAGCACAGATTTTTAAATTGTCGTCGTGGCTTTCATGTTCCTCAGCGCTGTGGCAGAAGCTGCTGCACACACAGCCGTTTTCTACAGGAAAACGTGAAATGTGCATGTCTTTCAGTCAGGCTTTTCAGTAAAATTAAAGCACGGACATTGAAATGCATGTCACAAACTCACACCAACAAAATCTCTCTGTGAATGCATAAAAGGAGGTATTTTGAAATGTGTGTCATTTTTTCCAGCTCCATGGTCCTGCCTGAGTGAAATGACTCCAGCAGATGTCTTTATATCCTCAAGTGCCCACGAAGTAACAAGCTCTAAATCCAATCAGTAAATGTGACAACTCAAAGTGCTGCCCTTAGGGCCAGAAACAATGAAAAATATATATTTAAACCAGAGTCCGAAAAACACTGCAGCCCCCACCTGCAACAGCACATTAAGCTCAGCATGGGAACCTGTTTTGGGATTTAAATTCAATTAGCTCTGCTGACCTTTGAGGCCACCTCAGCCAGTTATTCTCCTTTTTTTTTTTGCAGATTTTTAAAATGTCTCCTCTCTGGCTGCTCCCTATACTGTCAGATAATTGGCACTCTTTAAGGACAAGATGCTAAATTAAATGCTGCAAATGTGCTCAGCTCTATAATTTCACTGATTTGAAAATATTCAACACAGCAATGACACAAACAGAAAAGAGATTATTCAGTAAAACATTGTTTACAGCTTCAACATCAACCAACATTTCAACTTATCTGCTCTTGGTGAAAGTTTTCTTATTCAAAGTTAGGGAAGAATGTGAAATAAATCTGTGGATAATAAAATTTTATTTATGGAATTTGCATAAGTTTATGTGTGCAACATGGTAAAGACAGAAAATGATTAGTAAAACATCACTTCAGGGCGGCAGAGAATAACTTTTTTACATGTCCCCTGGTGAGTATCCCATGTTATTTCTTAAAATTTGACAAAAAGTGAAACACAACTTATGAATTTATGGAAATTTATTTATGGATTTATGTAAATGTATGCACTCGACATACTATAGACAAGCTGAAAAGAAAAAAAATTGTCAGTAACATTATTTCATCTGTCAAATGTGTCAAGGAGGAAACCTTTTTCTTCTTTTTTTTTACATGCTGCTTTTTCCAATTTTTCATTTTTAGATGATCAAACATTTGAAATTAAAATTCGGTACTCTGGGGATTATGTAAATTTATTATGACATTCAGGAAAATTCACAGAAATTAAGAGTGGCATTTTAACTTCCAATCAAACAGAAAAAAAACTGTTTATTTAGCTGTGTCTTTTTGTTTTTATGCACAGATACAGCAGAGTGAAGAAATGAACACAAACAGAGGGCAACCATCTGTCTCAGCTGTGCTGCCTCTGCACGAAACATTGTAATAACCATGACGAGACACCTCTGAGGGGGATTCGAAAGAAATTTATTTGTCAACGTAAATGTTAAATACCTTTTATAACCCTGTTGGTTTTGGAGAATCAGAAAGGAATTACAAGTTCTGACTTGTTGGGCTGTTGCGTTGGGTGTTATTGAGTTGATGAGAAAATGAGTCTGGCATTTACATCAGAATTTAATTTGGTTGTTGGGGATCACATTTATTCCAGGGTGTGAGCTGCAGATGAGTTGCTCAGGTGTGGCATTTTGAGAGCAGCTCTGGCATTTTTCCAACAGAGCTGCTTTTTTTTTTTTTCCTGCAAAAAGGCTGAGAGGGAAAGTGCTGCCATCGCAGAGACGGACGTCTGATCACATTAGATGGTTAAAGACTGTGGCATCTACTTTACTCTAAGAAGAAGAGGATGGTTTTCTGAGGAATCGCTTCATTAGCTCTGTGAAGTCTTTTTCCTGCTGCACTGCTCTCCAGTCTCAAGCTCCTCTCTTGTGCCACTTTCCATCATTCACACTAGTGTAGTTTCAGTTTTGTTATATTTGTTTAAACTAAAATTACCACCCAACTAGGTTGTAGGAAATATGGTCACAATCTCCATTTCCTGAGGCCATGCAAGAGGCCAAAACGTTTTGGTCACCGTGACCTTGACCTTTGACCCACTGAAATCTAATCGGTTCATCCCTGAATCCAAAAGGACATTTGTGCCACAGCTGAAGGGATTCTCTTGAGGGGTTCCCGAGATATTGTGGATATTATAGATATATAGTGTTTTGAGGGGGGGGGGGGCGTGATGTTGCCCTTTGACCGTGGTCCACCACAATCTAATCAGTTTAGTTCATCCTCGAGTCCAAGTGAAAGTTTGCACCAAAATTTGAAGAAATTCCTTCAAGGCGTTACTGAGACATGACGTGCATGAAAATGTACAGTCCAGACTGGCGCCGCTGTGGAGGCTTAAAAACAGTAAAGAATCGAATCTGCAGCCTAAATGCAGAAGCTAACGTCACTGGGTTCAGTTCATCCTCAGATGTTTTTGGTTCATATCCACTCACACATTTGCAATATCACTTCTTTCTTGTAGCCAGAACATTCAGAGACTGTTTATGCTTTTAATCTGTGTGTACTTACAACCTTCAGTCCCTTTGTGTTACAAAGACTGAAGACAAACTACTACAATTTCTCTTTATGCTGATATAATGGATTTCCTATTGGGTCACTGTATCCAATATTTCTTGTACAACATCTGAGGGCTGGGAGAGTGCATGGGAGAGAGTGAGCGTGTATTTGTATTGCATGTTGATGTAATACTGTTTTTGTTTGTGTGTGTGTTGTATAATTTTGTATTTGTGTCCATAGGACCGCCTCCAAAATGAGACGCCACATCTCAAGTTGCTATCCATTCAATAAATGCTAATTCAAATTTATCCAATATCACTGATACAATAGACTGGTGAAAAGTCTTCACACTGTTTTATTCAGAACTCATACCCAAATTATTTAGTATCATAAAAGCTTCACTCTTCTCCTTCAGCTCTGATTCACAGCCTGAACTGGAACGTGCCTGTCTGGACCAGCAGGCTTAAAGGACTAGTTCAACGTGGGAAATATCTGCTGACAGTTAGACAAGAAGATCAATACCACTCTAATCTAGGTCATCACCGTAAAGCTGTCAATTTCACACTTTGGTTTTTGTACACATTGAACTAATGAGATTAACATGTTAAGCAGGGAGCTTTAGAGGTGCTGGTAGGTGGATTTTTTTTTGACCACTGGACAAAGCCAGCCGTTTCCCCTGCTTCAAGTGTTTATCTGAACTGACCATCTCCTGTCTGCTTCATATTCACTGGACAGACAGAGAGCGGTACCAATCTGTCAAACTCTTGGTAAGATTGTTCTGTTTTTTCGTGCGTGGGTAGTTGAGTTCAAAAGGGACATGAAATGTATTTTTTGTTTTAACAGGTTTTGTCTTCATTTAGCACCTTATTTGTGATTTGATAATAACTAAAAATTCATTTGAATGAAGCAACATTTTTCACTTGATGTTTTGATTTCTGAAAATGTAAGTTTGTTGTTGAAACCTTAGAAATGAATACTATGTAAAAGTTGGTCTCTTAATGGAAACAGGTGGCTCTTACTTCACAGAAAATGTATTAACATTAGCAAGTCAGAGAAACAACATGAATTTGGTTTTTGTAAGTGAGCTTGGTCCGAATTTTTTTTTTTTTTTTTTTTGGGGGGGGGGGGGGGGGGGGGGGGTATGTAACGGGGGGGGGGCGATCAAAACTCACCCTGCCACGCTGCTGTTGGCGGAGCTCTCTGCGATCTGGGAGCTGGCAATCCACTTGGTCTCTCCCACCACCGTCCTGGCGTGCGGCAGGCGGCCCACGTCTTTCACTGTCATCATCAAGTGACGCGACGACTTCAGGACCCTGACGGCCTCGTCGTGAGGGATGCTCAGGAAGCTGCGGCCGTTCACCTCCAGGATCTGGTCGCCGACCTGCAGGGAGGGGAGGGAACAGAGAGGCGTGGCGGGAGGGGCTGAGCAAGGCGGCGAGGACGGACCAGGCAGACACTGACACATGCACAGGTTCACAGATCGAGGGTCAGAGACAGGTAACGTAACAGATGGAGGTGGTGGAGGCGTATAAAATGTTTAATGGATCAGAGCGAGATAATGAGGTTGTAGGTTCCTTGTTAAAAGTTGTGGCTCTCTCAGGTTAGGCAACGAACAGAAATAATTACACACAGATGAGAGTATTCTGTGCTCGCTGACGGGTTCTAGAAAAGAACTGTTTAATGTGTAATTGAAAAAGCTTTCATATGTAGTTTCACATCACATCAAGGGGCTGAGCCTGGAGGCAGTGGGGGAGGGAAGTATAATGAAGTCCATACTAAAGCGCACCTTGGACAAGGTCAACTCTCTGAGGTGTATCAGAGACCCTCATCTGTGCTCATGAAGCTGAAGCACCACCTCAGCCCCGGTCCGCACCTTCCCTCCGCTCTGGACCTGCACGTCCGCCTCGCTTGGCTGAACTTCACTGGTCTCAGTTACGACTCTGACATATTCTGTACAACAACTCTGGACTCCAATTCATCCACTCACCATCTGTAGTACAGCTGCACTGCACATTGTTACTGCTCAATTCTGCATGGGTTATACCATCGTGCACACAGAGCACATGTACTTAAAACTGTGTGACACTGCGCAGGCACTGTACTGCTGTGAACAATCCAACCCACATTTCTACTGTACTTGTACAACACACACACCATACACCTTCTCTGTTTATATTCTCATTGTAAATACTTTTCCATTTTATCTTTATTTATTTTATTATTATGTAATAATAATGATTATTATTATTCTATTTTATCTAATTTTCTTACTTCTATAAGTGTCTTGAATGTAAGCTGCTGGAACACTCTAATTTCCCTTTGGGATTAATAAAGTGTTATCTCATCTTATCTCATCTCATCATACATATTTTATCTGACCTTATCTTATCATAACCGTATCTCTGTGATAGAAGTGTGCACCACTGCAAATATTTCTCCAAACATGTCTGGGGTACATGCCTCAACAGAGAGCTGCTCAATCATCGCACGTACGCACTGCAGCATAAGTGCAATTCATTCTTTAATTTCAACCTCTTATATTACAAGTGACCAATAATGTGAAAGTCACAGTGCAGAAACTATTGTTCTTCCAGATGTAAAAAAAAAATATTCTGGGTAAAGAAATGAATGTCAGGTCTGGTCATCTCAGTGCCTCTTCACTCTATTAACTCTATTAACTGTATCTGTCACTATAACTGTGTAATAAATATTAGTCACAGAGGATGGGCTCACACTCTCCCTTTACAAAACAGCACAGAGTCGCTGGTATTGAAAATTAATTTGTCTGGCATTTAGACTTGATATAGTGTGAAGCATTTTTACAAAAGTCCCCAAATATAATTTTCTGCCTTTTTTGTTTTATTCCTCATTTACTGTGGCCATCCGACCAAATCTCACAGTCATTTCAGCGTTCTCTCTGAGCAGCAGCAAATGCAAACTAGACATTCACAATCTCATACGTTTCAGTTTTCTTGGGTGTTTTCCAACAACCTGAGGTAACCCAGCACCAGATCTGTTGCTGCTAATGCACATGCAGCACCTCCACATAAACCTCCACCTTTATCAGCCCTTACAATGGCACAATGTGTAATAATTTGTAGTAGGGCCATTTGCTTGCAAATAAGAGGCACATAATCAAAGCTGTACTTAAAATTGCAATCAATCAATCCATGCTAACAAGCGCCACTGCAGTGAGAACACACACTCCTGCCACAGCAAACACTTCTTATTCGTGCTGTCAGGCTGAGCTGGATCCTCGGGGATGAGAGACAGATTTTAAGACAGATTACAAGCTGTTTGTTCCAGCTGTATGCATTACAAAAAGCCACTAAAAAGAGTCAATAATCTGTTTCTTATCGACTTTTTACAGCGTTTGACAACCTTGAAGCTCAGTTTAATGTGAGCTCAGAGTGGTTTATCTCACTTTCACTCGGAGTTGACACAGTTTGACAACACACATGGCTGAACAGGCACACAAACACAACGCTCTTTTTATCCTTTCTACAAGTATCGCCGTCACTTGAAGAGAAATGCAATTCTCACTTCAGAGTGTTCATGAATATCATTATATTATCATATCACGTATTTTTATTTCCCTCCAAAAGTAAATGTTTAAACAGTTGAAGTGTGTGTGTACAGTAACAGACAGCTGTCTCCAAACTATGGTCAGGAAATGTGCGACTGTTATGTTGTTGTTAAAATGCTGTTTGAAATTTCTGCAAAAATAAAATGTGAATCGCGACATGAACTTCATATGAAAGTATTCAGACTCCTTCCTTATTGTTTAATCGTTTTAATTTACAGATTCAACAGAACAGATTCAATTTACTCTTAGCAATTAATTCTACGCTATAGTTTGTGCTAACACAACGCAATGTCCCATTTTATAGATGGAAAATAACAGCTGTCAGTGATCACACAAATTGCTTTTAATGAATTCATTCTGAGCTCAATTAACTGCTCACTATTGTGTGCATTGCTGAGTGTCTATTATAACAATCGTAATAATTATTATATTTATGATTATCTTTAGTAGTAGTAGTATTATTGTCATTGTCATTGCATAGTGGTCCTTCCCCCTTCCCCCCCAACCGGTCGAGGAAGATGGCCGCCCACCCTGAGTCTGGTTCTGCTCGAGGTTTCTGCCTCTTAAAAGGAAGTTTCTCCTCGCCGCTGTCGCCTAGCGCTTGCTCTGGGTTGGAATTGTTGGGTCTCTGTAATCAGTGTCATAACGAGTAGCCTACCGTCTATATGTATTTTATTTGAGAGGTGCCTTGAGATAACTTCTGTTGTGATTCGGTGCTATATAAATAAAAACAGACTTGACTTGACTATGCGCTATTATATGCAGAGTAGGGAATGAAACAGGCCATGACTCTGAAACCGAAGCAGCGGAGTCAGTAAACGGCAAAAGGGGCTTTGGTCAGGGAGGTGACCAGAAGTCCTCTGCAGAGATGGGAGAACCAACCACAAAGATAACCAAAGAAGAAGAACTTCATCAACCAGGTCTTTATGGAAGAGAGGCTTCTGAGGCCACTCCTAAATAAAGAGCATGTAACAACATCGAACTTGAAGTGGAGCCAAAAGTAGGCAGGGTCAGAGAGACTGGTCGGATTTAATGGAAGGATGATTGCAGCTAAATACCGAGAGGTCACTGAAGAGAACCTGCTCAAATCTTCAGACTGGGGTGAAAGGTCACCTTTCAGTGACAGGGACCTGAAACATACGGCAAAGAAAATGCTGGATTAGCCTTGGGATACATCTCTATACTGTATGTCCTCAAAATGAGACCTGAGGATGTCCCTTTACAGACACTTCCTATCCAATATGACAGAGCTTGTGATGATTTCCCCAGAAGAACGGGAAAACTGCCCGAATCCAGTTGCACAAAGTTTGTAGGGACTTGAGGCTGTAACTGCTGCTGAAGCTGCTTCTACAAAGTACTAAATAAAGGCTGAGTACTTAGAGTACTGAGAGAAATGAAAGGTTTTAATTTTTGATTAATGCCGTGATACATAAACAAATAATCAATTACCCTCTCTGATCCACATGCACCCTGTAGTGTTGTTAAAGCCATGTTGAAACGTCACAGTGGGGAACGCACAGGTGTAAATAATGGAATGAATGACTGGGTTTCAGGGTCCTGGTGCTGCTCACGCTGCCTCTCATACTGTCACGTCTTACTGGGACACTTTAATGGAACTGAGCCATTGTTAATGTTATCACTAACACCTGTGCTTTTCCTGCTATGACAAGTCAAAACGTCTGCTGTGAAAGAGGTGTATTAGTTGCCGTGGCGATAGAGAGTGGGATGATATACAGCACGGATCGAACTGGGGATGTTGCGGTTACAAACACCCCCAGTACACCCACTCTTTCTATTCTTTATTCTTTTGGCTTTTTTGACTGAAGATGTGACGTTAGTGGAAGAAGAAGCAGCTACTTTAACATCAAGGTGTATTTGTTGACTTCTGTTTCTTCTTAGGTGGTTTTATAAATTAAAATGAGAATAAAAATACATGGCTGGATACTTAGTGGCACTTTGTTTCATGGTGTTGTTTACATCTTTTATGTTTATGTTTATGTTCAGTGCAGATTATATTTTGGCCAGCAGTTTGTGGTGTGGTGTGTCAGCAGCAGTTAATCAAGTCACATATTTGACATATGAATACAACTTTGATTCTGGCTCTTATTACTTGCTGATGAAATTTTATCACCCTTTAATCCTCGTTTAAAACCACACAGTTAATTACAGATGAACGAAACAGATAACGTCAATATGCAGTATTAATCTTCCTCTGAATTTCTTTATTATTCTAATGGTTCAGGACAGATCGCCAATCCTTCAGAACATGAACTGCTTCACAAGTTATTTGTTGTTCTCCTCCATAAACTTAGGGACCAACAAGAGAAGGTGTTCACTTGACTGTGCTGCTGCATCTCCTGTTGTCAACACCTCACCACTTCCACTCTCTCTCATTTTCTTCCTTTGTTCTCATTATTCTGCTCCTCCATGTTCTCCTCCTTTCCCTCATTATACCTCTATTTGAGAGTAGATGGGCCCTGTCCTGAGTCACAACCACTTCATTTTTTCATGATCAATCTCTGTGTCGCACCGGAGGCGCCGCTGCAGCGCTGCATTCTGGGCAATTAAACAACAACCAGTAGCAATGATGTTTATGATTAAAGCTCTAATCAGTGCTGCTGCGCAATAATAACACATTCTTCATACGGAGAGGAAAACAACTGAGGCGGCAGGAGGAGTGGAGCTCGACTGACCGCGGTGACATGCCTCTCACACTTTTACTGAAACTCTTCCAATTACAAACCCAGTATGTCCAAAATGATTGTCACTGCAGCTGTGAGCACACACCTGCATGTGACTGGAGATTCACCAGGACCAGGCAGGAGAGTTTCTGTGGTATCATAGCAGCTCTGTGGGCTAATCCATGGAAG